CTGGAGTCAGGGAATGCTGTAGATTCAGTCTGAGTGGCCCCACCCTCATGCACTGCACCATGGATCACAGGAATCTGAACCCTCTCAGTTCCCTCACCCTCTGGAGAGGACTTGGGATGGGGTCCAAGCCTTGTGAACACCAGCTCCACTATGCTATAAAGTGACTCAGTGACCTTTAGTTTTACATCAGCGTTTTCTGTGTGTGTGAGTGTACTATGGGGGAGGGGTGCTATCTGTATGCATGCATGTGTTAGGCTTATAAGATTTAGGAGGCTTGACACTATGAGGCTCTTCCTTTGCTTTTGAGGGGAAAATTTGAACTGACTTTGGATGAGCTGGTTTGAGTCTTCTCAGGACATAGAGCTCCTCAAGGATTCTTCTTGGTCATCTTTGTTTCTTCAGCATTCCCATGCCTGACCCAATACTTGGTAAAATTTTTCAAATGGAAGGTCCTTAAAACATAACCTAAGTCTAGTTAAAATATACATTTAACCAAGCATGCTAGTCTTAGATGTACTTGTGGTTACTAAAGAGACAGAAGCAAATTGAAAGCCAGCCTGGGCTAATTGGCAAGAGCCTGCCTCAAACTAACTATACAAATGACCAGAAAGGAGCTTAGCGATGGACCTTTGCCTACCATAGACAACAGCCTGAGTTCAATGCCAAGTATCAAAGGTAGTATAATTCTAATGCATTCATAGAGCACCTCAAGAGTAAATGTATTGCTCTGCACCAGGGGCCATAACATTCTATTTCACAATGCACTCTGGTCTTTTCTCAAATATACACTATTCCCTAAAGGCTTCAGATCCTCAAGGATTGCATTGTGGGAAGGAAGGAAGGAAGGTAAGACACTGGGGAGGTACCTCTCAGCTCCACTTTGCATTTAGCCCAGGAATCTCTATGACTTTCTGCATACACACACTCAGTTTATCCCTCCATTGAGAACAACTTCACAACACTGCAAGATATGCAGCCAGATCTCAGGAAGCCAGGGTTTATTCCAGTTGCTGCCTTGATACAGGAGTAGCTCAACAAAGCCTGAACAGATAAACGCTCTTATCCAGGAAAGATTCTGCATCAAATCTACTAGAAATGGGTGGGAGTGGGAAAGACCTGAGGCACTTGAATGGCACCAGTCATAATAAAAATGACTTGGAGGTGGTGTTTGATGAAAGAAAATAAACTTCTGCATCCCAGCAATAGAAATGGAATGTGTGCCATGGGTTCTTAAAATCTCCTTATATGCCTCCTGTTCTCTCTATCCTTGTCAGTGCAACACTAGGATGTTTGGAAAGGGAACCATTATTCTCTCATTGTGTGTCAGGAAAACCTTAAGTGGGCCTATCTAATCCCTAACTGGTTATCTCTGTCATCCTTGACTTCCAAGCAGGCACCTCTCTCAACCACTGAGCAACAACTTCATCTTCTGAAGCACCATTACAAATCACTGGGCAGGGTGATATTTTCCAGTACCCAAGCTTCTCTTTTATTCCAAAACAAAAGAAATCAAAATAAGCCATGATTTTAAGACAAAGAAATTGCTTTGTTTCATATTTCTTCATCCTGAGAGAAATTCCAAATGCCCACAAGTTAAGGGAGGAAAAAATTATTCAGTTCACAGTTTGTAGAGGTTTCAGTCCAAAGTCAGCTGGTTCCAAGGCAAGGTGGCATTACAGACATGCATTGCTGTGTAATGACAGCTCATGCCAAGCTGAAGGTACCAAAACAAATAAACGAGGGACCTTAGAAGCATCTTTCTGCTTCTTTACACCCTAACCCTTACAATCTCCTGCAATGCCAAAGCAACCAGTGGACTGATTTAGTATTCAATCACCCTTAATTCCAGTATCACACACTCTAGATTTAGCCACCTCTGAATAACACCACTTATGACCTCATGAACCTGTTGGGTAAAAGAGTTTGGCATCCCAGACAGGGGAATACCAAGTATGAGAGTGACAGGAGATCAGTGCATGTTCCATGTAATCTGTCACTGAGCACAGGTATGATTTCAACATTTTCCACAATAATTGAGGATATTTGATGTCTATAGAAAATGAGAAATGATCCAGGTTTATTTCCACCTCCCAGAATTCCTGCTGTAGGATCAATTTAGGGAGAAAGTTTTTCAAAAAAAAAAAAAAAGAAAGAAAAGAAAAAACCAAAAAAAAAAATTCCTCAAAATCCATCCAAATCAAATCTACTCATGTTCCTCTATTTAAAGAAATATGCCTAGTTACCAAGTTGACAAGGGTTGGATTGTAGTAGTTGAAATAGTGGGTTAATTTGAGAATTTAAAAGCTTAACTTGCGTCAGCATTTCCACACCCTAGGGCATGGTGGTCCCACACTGGGGTATTGTGGCTCATCACCCAAAGAATATAAAAGGAAATTGAGGAAAGATGGAGCATTCCATTTCCTGGGAGGAGTTCCATTCTTCCCAGACAGCTTGGAAGTCTCCTGACTTCTAGTACAAACTCTTCCCCCTCCACCTTGGATCCTTCAGCCTATAGACTCATCAGCTTCCTGTTGCAGACAGAACCTGTTTTGTCTATAGACAGACAGCGTTCTGTTTGCCTCCTGATACAACTTTCCATCAGAGATCCATTGGCCTCCTGATAGGGAACTGCACTTAACACTGAAGTGAGCTCCAGACCTTGCATTGACTCTTTCAGTCTCCAGTGTGGAGATACCCTCCTCATGCTACCTCATCTGACTCTGTGGCTGACCATCAAAAGCCGATCTTGTAATTTCTTACATATTTGTACATTTTGTGTTATTTTAGGAAAAAACCCTGACTGATGCAATTTGCAATTTTAACCTCGTGATAATGATGGGTTCAGATAAAAGAGTGTCCCAAGTTCTCATAAGCCCAAAGCCTTCCTTAGGTGACCAGAAGCCTCATGGTACCAAGGATATGGAACCAAATCTCCTCATTTGTATGGGACAGTACAAGAGGCAGATCTTATACTATTGAAGACACTAAAAAAATAAAAATGAGGAAGAATTTCTAGAAAGGGTTTGCTTGTCTTCCCACTCTCCTCAGATTACTCACTGAATTCCAGAGACCTTTCACCAAAGATCTCCTTGACCTCTGTACTGATCCAGTTCTACATCTCCTATAGGCTTAGCATGAAGTTTTGCTTATTGGTCATGTTGGGCTTGATGAAACCAGGCTCAATAATAGCCACCTTTACTCCAAAATAAGATCGCTCTTTCCTGCAAAACACACAGTAGCAGACAAGGATATCAGCAGTCTTCAGAAGCAAAAGCACAATTGGATAAGATGACAACAGTTTCATGTAAGATTGGGATGAGAATATTTGAAAACTAAGGATGTGTAATGTACTGGAGCCTCATTTTAAAATGATGGTGATGAAATTGTCTCTGTGTATTGTTTCCTTTGTCCAAGCATTTTACATATACCAGCTTATTGACATATATCCTATGGATTTGAGAAAGGAATTCATGAGAAGATATCTCCTACAAGAGGGATCTTTCCTACAAGAGGGATCTTTCCTACAGATATTTTCCCACAAACAGTATCAGGAAAATCTTTTAAAATGCCATAATGGGACAAATAGAGTTTACTAGCTTGGATGCCCACAAGGGAGGAGCCCTGTCCAGAAGAAGCAACATTGAAATCCTCGGCTACTGCATGCTGCAGTGGTTGTGTGGGAAACTTTCTTGGGAAAAGAACCTGAAGGACCCCGTGGGTACCCAGACTGCTAAAACAGAGTAAAACTTTTCATGTATTTTATCATTGCTGTAACAAGTCTGAAGAGTGCCTTAAAGGGACCTTATCTCCCAGACTAGATCACTGTTCATCTACATGATGGAGCAAATGTATTCAATTTGAAATAAAATTAAAAACCAAAGAATAGACATAAAGAGGCAGAAATGTGTGACCCAACATTTGGAAACATGAGGAAGAAGATTCACAGCTTGATCGCTACCCTGAGTGACATGGTGAGACTCTGTCTCAAGCAAACAAACAAACAAGCCACATTACCTGCCTCCATTTCCCTCATATCCCACACATCCCTTGACTTTGCCTATATCACCTCTACAATCAGGTCCATCATTCCCCTCTGCTTTCCAAGAAGCTCCCATCCTGTGCTGTCTTCTAGGGTGCACGGCTCAACCTCAAAGCTTCCTAGCACCGCACAGTCTGAGACACCTCTGCTCTACAGGCAGCAGGGACCCTGGGTTCTGACTTGTAGCAGTGCTTCCTGAAATCTGTCCTTTCCAGTGGCAGCCTGCCATCAGCATGAAGTGCACATACATCCAGGGACACAGGCCCTTTCAAAGCCTACCTGTGCCCACTCCCCAGCACACCTCCAGAAAACTTGTAGTTGTTATGGTCACCATGGCTGCCTTGGACACAACTACTCTCTTGCCCCTCTCTTAAATGTATCAGAGTCATGAGCTGAAGAACACAGTCTTGATATTGTGCAAAGTCACTTATCATGCAGTCAAACAAAAGTGCAATAAACAGTTGTTGAGTTGGATAAGAACCTCATGTGAGCTGAATCACAAAGCTCATATGTCTGGCTTAGGGGCCAGAGTCCTAGGTTCTCTCTTCCAACTGACCTCAGAGAGTCACTATCTATGAACCCTATTCCAGGGCAGTAAATAATTAACTAAACTCAGACTTTCTCTGTACACAAAAAATAAAATTGTGGCTCCTAAAAAGGGGCCAATTGAATGCAGAATAGAGAAGTGAGAGTCCCACAACCAGAGGCAAGAACCTTCACCATGGGCCACCAAGCTTGGAATTAATTGAAACCTTGAAATAGGCTTCTCCAAAATTCTGGGAACATGAGCAATTCAGAACCCCAACCCGATTCAGTACCTGAGACTGTCCAAAAAGGACTCCACACCATAGTTAGCGATGCAGTAGCAGCCATCAAGGAGGGAAACCTAGCCCATGACTCTGGAGATATTGACCACATGGCATTTTGCATTCCTCACAAAAGACAGCAGGCTCAGAGTCACCTCAATGACCCCCAACAGGTTCATGCTGAGAATGTTCATGAAGCCCTGCTTCTTCAACCACTCACTGGGAGCAGAGGGGAAGGAGATGCCAGCATTAAACACCAGACCCCTGAGTCCTAGGAACAGTTGGAAGATGGGGGAGACACACTGTGTGTCTGTGGTCACAGTTAGGGCTCAAATTACCTTTCAGTAATGGAAAACATTCTCTCCTGGGAAGGAAGAAGGACAGAACATAAACCACCCAGTATGTGCAAGACTCAGGCAGCACCTTTCGGAGCTGCTGGTTGACAGAGTTGATGTGTGACTGAAGCCTTAATTATTCAGTGACCAACACACTGCCTGGGAGGTACAAGAAAGTAACCTCAAATTGATGATTCCGAGAATAGATGTGGAAGAAATACTGTACATCCCCTGGTCTGGAAAAAAGGGAAATGAAGACAGATTTTTAAATAAATTAACATAATCCTCTATATGTTCTAATTTTTCAAGGTTTTTTTACACCAGGTAATTCACATACCACACAAACAATATTTAACAAAGGAGGGGACTGGGAAGGTAGCTCAGTGGAATAAGTGCTTGCCTGGCAAGCTCAAGGTCCTGAGTTCTATCTCTGGTACTGAAAAAAAAAAAGTAAAAATATTTAACAAAGGAAAAGAAAGACAGCAGTGAAGGAAAAACAGGAAAGGAGGCTCACAGGGAAAAAAGAGAGAAAATCAAAGACTAGCATGTGTGTAAAATTTGGTTGAGAAACAAAGAATTAATGTTCAGTTGGGGAAATTTTCAGAGCTCTGTGCTGCACTCAGAAAACTGAAGTTGAAACTGGGGCACTGATATGGGATCACCTTCCTGAGTGTGCATTTGCACAATCCAACAGGAAGGCTTAGCATGACATTTGGCTCCCACCTTCTTCCCCCGGCCTCACTATACAACTCCACCTTGTGCAACAGAGAAGAACAGCCCTTTCCCCACTCTCTGAAGGCCACCTTCCCTCATCCTGAATAGTCCTCATTTCACAGTCTCCATGTGGTCACTCTGGAAGGCTCCACAGCCACATCTAGGAATAAACAGCATTTGCCACACTCGGAGCACAGTGCAGCACTGGTGAGTGCCTGTTGGCCTAGGGCAAAGGGTGCAGCATGCCGATCACAAGAGATGGCAAGGAGTTCCACACCTCCATTGATCAGAAATACAGCCTGCTCTCCATGGAAGACAGTCCTTGTCCCTTATCCTCTTTATCTGTAAGAACCCAATCATACACATAAATGTACTAATATCAGCAGAGCAATGACCACCAAGATGACATTAATGACAGTAAAATGTCAGAAACAACACTCACACACAACATCCTGAATGTCTAAATAAGTAGAGTTCTATGGAACAACTGAACAGTCTACATTAGGCAGTAACAATGCTCCTCTTCATTTTTTAACTAAGAGGACTAGGTATGAACTGCGCACAAAATGTCATGGCATATGCCTCAATGGGTTAAAAATATTTTTCTCTTGGTGATGACATAATTCACTAATTTTTTATGATTTTATGCATTCCTGTATTTATTACAATAGTTATACAAAAGTCATAACAATAGACTTTTTTTTTTTAATTACAGAAACCAACGCTCCTTTCTACCCCAGTAATAGCACTAACAAAATAGTGTAGTGAAAAATAAAGCAACAGTGAGCCCCAGGTTTTTGCCTTTCCTAAACCAATCTTAGCTCTCTGGATGAGCCATGCTGGGGACCCAAGAAGAACATGTTGCAGTGCTGAGACATGAGCCCAACTCCAGCATGTACTTGGCCAGCACACACCAGAGTGCAAGGCCACAGCCCTCCTCCTGAAACGTTCCCATTTCTCAGCAGCAATCTGCACTCAGCAACCCAGAATTTCTGTTTAGAAAGGCAGATAGGGGACAAAGAGGATATCTGGACAGAGAGACCACATTCCCAGCAGAGCCCCTCTCACCAAGACTAGAAGGCTCCAAGGGAGACAGGAGAGGGAAAGACTCAAGCTTCCACTGAGGGGAGGGGAAGGACTCACTTCCAGCATCACATCCTCAAGATTTCTTTCCAGTCTCACCAGAGAGCACACAGAAGGTACCTGCCTCACACACAGGGAAAAAATCAACAGGCATGATCAAGAATCTGGGTGATACCTCTGTCCTCCACACGCTCCTTCACCCACTGGACAGCTGCAGCAATGCTCTCTGTCTGGGTGACATCCAGGATCACTGTCTGCAGCCATCCTGACATCTGTTTCCTCAGCTGTTTGGCTGATTTTTCTGTCAGACATGCAGCCAGCACCCTCAAGCCTCTCATGTCCAGCTGTCTGGCCAGCAGGTTCCAGAAGCCTGAGTCACAGCCCATGATGAACACATACCTGTCATGGAGGTAGATCACCACCTGCCTCTCCCAGTACCAGTGCACAAGGTAGAACAGGCCCACAAGGGGTACCACATACAGCAGCATGGCTTCCCAGAAGGCAGGGACAGGAACAAGGGCACAAAACAAGAGTCTGGCTCATGTTCAGCCAGAAGAAGTGTAAGAAGTGAGATGCTAGTAAGCTATTAGTGGTGGCTTATTGTTCTGCTGACGTGAGTACATCTAGAGTACCTAGTGTGGCATCTACAGTTATTCTTTTATCATTGGTTTTGGAACATTTACTTTATTCCTGCCCCTCCTCTTTTGCATACTGCCTTTGGATTTGGGGGAGGGCAGTTACAGTATTTTTTTTTTATTTAGAGGTTTTGATTTCATTTATTTACTCATCTTGAACTCTCTTTTTAGTTCAGGCTGAACTCAAACTCATGGGGACTCAACTTCCATATTTGGATTATAGACCACTGCCACATTCCTTGGCTAACCATGTTCTTTTATTAATATATTGATTCCCCCCCAAAAAAAAATATTGATGCCCTTGATCATGCCATATCCTGTCTCAAAGAAAAACATGATGAGTCAATAGCCTGACACAATAACATCAGTTTCTCTCTTCCATCCTGTATGGATTCCCATATAGGAATCCATGGAATACCCCATGGCACAGTGTCCAGGGTCAGACTGTCTATTCAGGTCAGCACCTTGCATCATGGATCTTCTGACACAGGAAGGTGCTATTGGAAGGCTATAATTGGAGAGAAGACACATTTACAATGACTTCCCTTTCTTCACTCCACATTCCTCATTAGCCTCACCACTCAGATTACCTCCTCAGGTAGTGAGGACTCTTTCTCTCCAATACTACCCAAAATACCAGAGGAGTGGACATCAAATGCTACCTTCCTGATATAGGAGCTACCTGGAAAGAAGGAGTGAGAGCACAACAGGGAGTTTGAGATCTGAAGCAAAGAAGGGGTTGATGAGAGGATGAGGCTGGGGGGTGAAATGCCAGAACTAAAATTCTCAGGGCTGAAGGGACACTGGAATAGAATTACATTCACAAAACACATACAACTGAACTACCTTTCCACTACTATACAAGGCCTTGCCCAGCTGAATGGATACAGAAGGACATGACTACAACCATCTTGAATTATAACCACTAGGACTGCCTGAGAATAAGCCTTGCTGTATTTGCTTATATACATAGAAAAAATATAAGTAGATGAGTCCGTTAGTGGTGTATGTGAAGTTTTATAGCCAGAAAATTACTCCAGCCATTTCTCTTGGATCAAGCTTACTTCAAACCAAGTCCATTCCAGCTCCCAGGAAGCAGATGTTGTCCTCACCCATACAACAGTACTCTTTTTCTGACCCAAATTAGAGGGATCCAACCAGTCCTGTTTCCCCACAAGAATACACCTCCACACTTCGACCTGTGAATAAATCCTCTTATTAAGTACACTCTGAGAAGTCCTAGATCTATCTGCCTCTGCTTGGTCATATAGCACCTCAGGGCTGATTCTCACCTATGAGAACTGATTTCTTTCATGTGCCCACACTGTGCCCTTGTAGTGGTCAATACATTGGGTCAACTTGGCTTGATCACCTTTGTGGTTCCACACTCTGGGCTGTGAGGGCCACATCCCAGAATAACTCAGCACAAAGAAAGGTATATAAAGAGGTTGAGGAAGGATTTGGCATTCCACTTCCTCAGAGGAACTACAGTCTTTGCAGTCAGCTTGGACTTCATCTCCTGGCTTTCAGCGCAGATTCTGAGGCCTCCAGATTGGATCCTTCAGCTTTCTGTTGCAGATTCTTCAGACTTTCATTGCAGGCCCAATGGCCAACTGTTAGAGACTGTTGGAGACTGTTAGAGACAGAACACTGCAGTGAGCTTCAGACCTTGGGACTGAATCCTTCAGTCTAGGGTGTGCATACACCCTCTGCACGCTTCCTTATCTGACTCTGTGACTGGCACATCTGGTGTTATATCTGTTATTTGTATTATATCTGTTCCTATAATAAAACCCTGACTATTACAGATAATGTTCCAGGAGTATAGTTGTTGCTGTGGCTAAACCTGACCACATGGATTACCAGCTTTTGGGAGAGGCTTATGGGAAGAGATAGGAAAGTTTCAGAGATGTCACAAGTGAAGTACAGGAATGGCTTCTACTGGTTCTGTATGGAAGATTCTGGTCAGAGCTCAGAAGAATAGAAAGCTGATAGAAAGCCTGCCTGTAAACATCTCCAGAACCAGGAGGTTTCTGCTGAGAAGAAGGATTGTACTGGTTGTTGGACTCCAGATGTTTTGTGTTATGGCTTGGCAGAAAGTTTGTCTGCATTTTGCTCCTGTCCAGAGACTTCACCAGAGACTAAGGCTAAGTATAAGGAATTGATTAATTTTTCAAAGGAAATCTCAAAGCAGTCAAATATTTAGGCAGCGGCATGACTATTGTTGGGGGCCTTTAGTCAAATATAGGTTGAGAATCAAGAGCAAAGAGCCCAGTTACTCTTCTCTCATTGCTGGGACAAATATCAGACATTCAAGATGAAGGAAGGAAAGGTTATTTAGTTCAGTTACTGAAGGTTTCATTCCATACTCAGCTGGCTCCAAAGGCAGACTATTTTGAAAATACCACAAACATCACCCCTCTGCTCAAGGTGGCCTCAATCATAGATGCTGCCACCCTGCACTACAGGGTCTAGAGAAGAGGCTGGGGAGCCACTGTGTCCAGGATGACCCACTTCACAACTCTATGAGAGGCCGTTGGCCTGGGGAAGTGTGTGCTGCCAATTTAAGGGTTCACACCTATCTGGCCTCACCCCTTGAGGCCCACCCTGGTCCTCTGGCCCTACCCCTTGAGCCATGCGGTGCTCCTGGAGATGCGTCCTCCCCATGAATTACATAAGGCTTTGGGGAAACAACTAGATACAAACCATAACATTCCACCCCTGGGTTCCCAAAGTCTCATGTACATCCCTTTGTGCAAAGGGCATTTTAATTTATCTATAATAGTTGCCAAAGTCCCCATTGCTGAGAAGTCCAAGTCCCAAGTCTCCAAGATCCAAAGAAAACTCTCAATTGTGAGCCCCTGTACAAATGAAAAGTTAAATACAGTCAACATTCAAAGGCACAATATAGGAGCTACGTCCCACACCGTCCATCTGCATCCATCGTTTGCTTTGGTAGCTCATCAGGTCCCCAGCAGCCAGCATGGTGCAGCAGACTGAAAGCAACGAGGCCTTTCAGGAAGCCCTGGCTGCTGCAGAAGACAAACTTGTAGTAGCTGATTTCTCAGCCACGTGGTGTGGGCTTTACAAAATGATCAAGCCTTTCTTTCATTCCCTGTCTGAGAAATATTCCAACATGTTGTTCCTTGAAGTAGATGTCGATGACTGTCAGGACATTGCTGCAGATTGTGAAGTCAAGTGCATGCCAACTTCCCAGTTTTTTAAAAAGGAGGAGAAGGTGAGTGAGTAAGTTTTCTGGTCTTAATAAGGAGAAGCTCAAAGCCACCATTAATGAGTTAGTCTGTATTTTCTGAAGAATGTAACTATCAGCTGCATAAAACTTTTAATTTTTTTTTTAATTTACAAAACAATAAGTATGGAAACTATATACCCAGCTTCCATCTGATTATAAAAGACAATAAAATATTATTTCTACCCTTTAAAAAAAGGCACAAGATAAACATTACTATTCCAAAAGGTATCCTGCATACAGCAGGATACCAAGCATTAGGACCAAAGCAAGTACAAAATCCAGCAGGGCAAACATTACATCCTATAGTTCCATATGGAACATCTGAAGCAATCAGTGGCAAATTGTGAGCTCTATGGGACTCTGCCCCATGGCATTCTCTGTGGTAGCTCTCATGGCTTCTCTCTTAGGCCAGTTTGGCTCCCTCTTTGCAGTTTTTCTTAGATGATCACATTCCTGGATTTTCCGAACTTCTGGAGTTTCCATTGAATAGACTTCTCTCTCACAGCTTTACACACTGCCCTCTCAGGGGCACACTGCCTGGCCTCCCAGGCCTTCTTCTGAAATCTAAATGGAAGTCTTCTTAATCTCATAACTCCTGCATTCTGCATACACCTAAAATCAATGCCACATGGGTGATGCCAAGGTTTGCTGCCACCTGGAGCAATAGCCAGGCTTTCCTCTCTCTTGGCTGTAGGGCTTAAGTTCCTGGATTTCTGAGCACTTTGACCCTGATTCCAAGGAAGAAATTCTCTATGCTGGTGCCCTTATGGAATCTGGTGTGGTGGCTGCCTCGATTCTGCAACCTGGTGTGGCTGTCACCTCCATTCTGGAACAGAGGTTCTGCGGATTTCTCCTCAAAGCAAAGTCCCTTACCCTTGCAATTCTGAGGCTTCAAAGGGTGAGAACCTGCCACCACTTGTGTTTTTGTTTTTGTTTTTGTTTTTTGTGATTTTTTTTTGAACCAGAGATTGAACTCAGGCCCTTGTGCTTTCCAGGCAAGCACTTATTCTACTGAGCTATCTCCATAGCCCCCACCACTTGTGATGTACTCAGGACATCCTTTCTACTCTCCTGTTCTTCCTGGGCAATGGAGATCTCAGCTCTATGTTTGCAGTCCACAGTCTTCTTGGAGCTTCCTTTCTGGCCAAACCCACATTTTATCATTTTGCTGGGCTCTTTGCTCTTGATTCTCAACCTATATTTGACTAAAGGCCCCCAACAATAGTCATGCCACTGCCTCAATATTTGACTGATTTGAGATTTCTTTTGAAAAGTTAATTAGTCCTCCATCCTTAGCCTCAGTCTCTAGCAAAGAAAATTTCTGGACAGGAGCAAAATGCAGACAAACTTTCTGCCAAGCCATAACACAAAACATCTGGAGTCCAACAATCCTTCTTCCCAGCAGAAACCTCCAGTTCTGGAGATGTTTACAGGCAGGTTTTCTATCAGCCTTCTATTCTTCTGAGCTCTGACCAGAATCTTCCATACAGAACAGCTGAAGTCATTCCTGTACTTCACTTATGGTGACTTTTCTGAACTTTTTCCTATCTTTTCCCATAAGTCATTCCCAAAGGCTGGTAATCCATGTGGTCAGGTATAGCAACAGCAATGACCATCCTCCTGGTATCAAATTCTGTCTCAGTTGCTCTTCTGTCATTGCTGAGACAAATACCTGACACTCAAAATGAAAGAAGGAAAGGTTTATTTAGATCACAGTTACTGGAAGTTTCAGTCCATACTCAGCTGGCTCTAAGGCAGACTATTTGGAGAGTACTATCTTCCCCAAACATCTCCTCTCTGCCAGAAGTGGCCTCAATTGCAGATGCCACCACTCCACACTACAGGGTCTGGAGGAGAGGCTGGGAAACCTCATCCTGGATGACCTGATCCACACTTCAAAGAGAAGCCATTGGCCTGGGGAAACATGCACTGCCAGTTTAACTGTTCACACCTCTCTAGCTCCACCCCTTGGCCCTGCCCTGGTCCTCTGGCCCCACTCCTCAAGCCATGCACTGTTCCTCGAGCCACGTCCTCCCCATGACTTACATGAGGCTTTGAGGGGACAACTAGACACAAACCATAATAGCCCTCCACCCTCTGCTCTGGGGCCTCTCCTGCCTGCTCACACATCCAGAGTCCAGAGTGAATGCTCACTGGAAGGATGAGAGCAGAAAAGCCTCCTTTGAATAAGCACCACTGAGACAGCAGGATTCCCTGAATCTTAGACTGGTTTGAGTGTCTGATCCAAAACCAATGGAAAGGTGACAGTTCAGTGCATATCCAGAATGGGCATATCAGTAGTGCTTCCTCTGAGGAGACCAAGGAAAGCTGTGGAGACTGGCCCATAAAACCTGTGTGGGGGCTCTCTCTGTGACACAGGGGAGTTGGGAGGAGCAGAGAAGCCAGAGTTTTACAGCTCTTGGCTGCTCCTGACTACCTGCATCTACCACTCTCTGACAGGTGAGTATCAGAATAACAGACCAACTGGCAGTAAGAAATTTCCTAGACAAAGCTGAGACTCCAGTTCATTCATTACACATGCTAGAAGAGGGACAACAACATGGCACCCATTCCATTTTGCCTTTAGAAATGAACATTAGTAACCAGCAACAAGGTGGCTGGAAACTTGGAGAGTTTTAACCTCCTGATGGTGCCTTTCTCTGCTCAGCTCGAGCTGCTGTTGTTGGGGTTAGAGTTCTGCCAGGAGTCTCCCTCTTGGGCTTACTGACTCCATAAAGGAATAAAAAACCTAAGAAATTCTCAGTAGAAAGGAGAACCTGCAGCTACACAAACAGCTATGGGAAGTCTCAGGGTTTGGGAGGCTAGAACAAATTGTAATTTTTTTTCTCAATGATGGCAGCTTTCTTCATTGGAAAATTCCCACAGGTGTCCATGCATAGGACCATTTCCCAGGGCATAAAAAGACTGTTCTGCTTTCACTCATGTTAAACATAATAATATGCTTTCTTGTTGGGAGATCTAGGATTCCCAGGTTCTGCAGCAGTCTCTGAAAGTGCTGTGTGTTGCTTTGTTGGCTTTGTATGTTTTGGATTTTTTGTTTGTTTGTTTGTTTTTCTTTATTCTCCTTTCTTTTCATTTTATTTTATTTCCCTTGGTTTTTTTTTCTGTGTATCATTGTTTTCTTGTGTATTATTCTGTTTTCCTTTGTTTCCTTTTACTTTGTTTTCTTAGGTACAGGCTCTAGTTCTGTAGTCAAGGGGGTTTCAAATTCCCTATGATACTGTCATTGGTGGCTCCAAAGCACTAAAAATATAGATGTGGGATACCACACCAAGATCCTGAAAGTTACATGAAACAACTCTTTCACCTAGAGCCAAGGAGAACAAAGCCAGTCCTCAAAGGAGCCGATGTTGCTGATGCTCCCAATCACACCTAACCATTATATGACAGGCCCTCACAAGGCATTCCATAGTGACAAACACTTCTCTATCTATAGCCTGGGAAGTGGCCTTATCCAGGCACAAATTTTGTACTGCTGAGCACCTGGGTGTCCCCACATTGTCCACGGCAGTGCCTGGGCTATACCACCTGCTGGAGTCTCAGGAACCAGCTCAAACACATGGTGACCACTCTTTCCAGCATCAGCATTCCCTGACTCCAAGGTGTCAACTTGCTCATGACTTGGCAGCAGAGGGGTAAAAGGAAGTGTCCTGTACAGCAACCAGAGTCCTCAGCCATGATCTCAGAGGAGAGCCCCATGATAGAACTCTTGCCTGTCATAAAGCATAGCTTGTGTTCAATGCCCATTTTCCAAAGTAGTATAATTTTAATGCATTTATAAAGCAGTTCAATAGGAAATGAATCACTCTGGAACAGGGGCCTTTGTTTTCACAATGCACTCTGGCCTTTTTTTAGGTATACACTATTCCCTTAAGGCTTCAGATCCTCAAGGATTATATTGCTGTAAGGAAGGTAAGACATTGAGGAGGTGCCTCTCAGCTCCACTTTGTATTTAGCCCAGGAGTCTCTATGACTTTCTGCATACACACACTCAGTTTATCCCTCCATTGAGGACAGCATCGCAAGACTGCAAGATACACAGCCAAGTCTCAGGAAGCCAGGGGCAATTCCAGTTGCTGCCTTGAATACAGGAGATGCTCAACAAAACCTGAAGAGATAATAAAATGCTCTGATCCAGCAGACTCTACATCAAATCCATTAGAGGAGGATGGGAGTGGGCAAGACCCGATTCACTTGAATGGCACCAGTCATAATAACAATGACTTGGAGGTGGTGTTTGATGAGGGAAAATAAACTTCTGCATCCCAGCAATGAAAATGGAATGTGTGCTGTGGGTCCTCAAAATCTCCTTGTATGCCTGTTCTCTTTACTCTTGTGAGCTCAACTGCTTTGATGTTTGGAAAGGGAAATATTTATCTCTCATTGTGTGTCAGGAACGTCTCAGATGGGCACATCTAATCCCTATGCAGGCCATCCAGCTCATCCTTGACTTCCAAACATGCACCTCCCTGGGTCACTGGGCAGCATCTGCTTCTTCAACAGTGTTACAAAGCACTGGGCATGGTGATCTTTTCCTGTACCCAAGGTTTTCTTTTATTCCAAAGCAAAAGATATCAAAATAAACCACGATTTGAGACAGAAATTGCCTCCTGTCTCATATTTCTTCATCCTGAGAGAAATTACCCAACACCCACAAGCTAAGGGATGAAAAGATTATTTAGCTCATAGTTTGTAGAAGTTTCAGTCCATAATCAGCTGGCTTAAAGACAGGGTTCAATTGCAGAACAGGCATTGCAGAGGAGCAATTATCATGCCTGTCAGAAGGTATGAAAAAAACAAGGGACCTTAGCAGCTTCTTTCTTCTCATTTACACTGTTACTAGACAAACTGAAATAGAGCTATGCCAGAGCAATCAGTGGACTGACTTATTATTCAATCACCCTTAATCCTAGCACTACATTCTAGATTCAACCACCTCTCAATAAATCCCTGATGACCTTTGGGAGGACATGTAGACACAAACTGTAACCATTTGTATGTCCTCTGCAAGGATCTTTGTTGAGGGGAGATCTAAGTCCAGCCAAGACCTGAGACCCTTGGGATAGTATGGTGTTGCCCTCCCACCTGAAACCATGGACACAGTGATTATAAAAGACAGAGGTCCTTATATCTCCCGGGCTATGTCTATACTGGGGGAAGGTAGATAGTAGCCAACACCAATGCATCTTCTTTTCAGGAATGCAAGAGGCAAGTGAGGCATGGGCTCTGTACCCTCCCACTCATTCCTAGCCACCCAGGTGTATAGATTCCTCAGGCTTGGCCATGTTGCTCAGAGCTGTCAGCAGCTGCCTAAGTCACTGAGGCCTCAGTAAGTTAAGCTGAGTACCTACTCCTCAGCACAACTACTTGGGTTTTTCACTCTCACTTCACCAGTCTTGAGTAATACCTGAGAAAATAATTTTGAACAGAAAACATGGGACAAAAATCATGTTGTACAAAATCTGCTTTCTCTCACCCACTTTCCTTCCTCACATACCACAACCCACACACATTACCCATCTTCCCCAATCACACCGAACAGTTGGCTTTACAGAGCTTTTTCTGGCTTTGGGACGACCAAGTACACAAAGGCATCCAGCAGGAATGTGGGCAGGTAGCTCATGGGGAGGTAAAAGAGCTTGGCATCCCAGCCAGGTGAGTACCGGGTGCGGGGGTGACAGGACGTCAGTGCATGTTCCATGCAATTTATCACTGAGTTCACATCTGATTTCCACACTGTATCCACTAATGTAGCATATTTGGTATCTATAAAAAAAGAGAAATGATCCAGGTTTATTTCTGCCTCCCACTTTAGGGTCAATTTAGGGATTAAGTTTTCCCTAAATTAAAATGTTCCTCACAGCCAGAACCCATCCAAATCAAATCAATGCATATTCCCCAGCAAGTGCCACCGCTCATTCCCAACAAACTATGGTTTCACACTAAGCCACTTCCACCTCTCTTCCTGGGTTATCTTGACTGCATTAATGAAGGCCTCTTAAACACTGGAAATTATCTAAGCTTATGGAATAAGCTTCCTCTCATTCCAGAGGCCCAAGCCATAGGGCCATGAGTGAGCATCTCTCAACTTGTTCTTAATTTTATCTTCATGATAATGATGGGTTCAGATAAGAGTGTCTCAAATTCCAATAAGCCCAAAGCCTTCCTTAGGTAATCAGAAGCCTCCTGACACCAAAGAAATGGACCCCAGTCTCCTCACTTTGCATGAGACAGAGGCAGAGGCAAATGTCATACTATTGAAGACACTAAAAAACAATAAGGACTTCAAGAAGGGGCTTGCTTGTCTTCCCACTCTCTTCAGATCACTTACAGAATTCCAGAAGCCTCTCGCCATAGACTTCCTTGACGTCTGAGCTGACCCGGTTCCACAACTCCTTTGTGTGTCGTATAAATGTTTCTGTCTTAGTCATGTTGGTTTGGAATAAACCAGGCTCAATAATAGCCACCTTCACCCCAAAATAGGAGAGCTCCCTCCTGCAACACACACAGCAGCAGACAAGGACTTCAGCAGTCTTGGTATACAAAACACAATTAGATAACACAACAACACCTTCATGTAATATTTGGGTGAGAATACTTGAAAGGTTAGGATCTGCATTGTGCTAGAGCTTGGTTTTTAAATGGTGATGAAATTGTCTCTGTGTGTTTCCACATTCTTCCAAGCATTTTGCATATATTAGCCTAGTGACATAAATCCTATGGGTTTGTTAAAGGAATTTGTGAGAAGAGACCTGGTCTCAAAACAAACAAAAAAAACTCACATTATCTACCTCTATTATCTGCCCTCATATCTCACACATCTCTGGACTTTGATCATATCACCTCCTCTACAATCAGGCCCATGCTTCCTGTCTCCTGCCTAGGAGATGCCCCAACCTGCGCTGCTTTCTAGGGTGTTTGCCAGAACCTGAATGCAGTCCTTGCAACCCATAGTCTGAAACACCTCTGCTCTGCAGGCAGCAGGGTCCCCGGGATTTTAGCTGGTCCCAGTGGATCCTGTAAATACATCTTCCAGGGGCATCCTGTCATCAGCATGAAACACACCCCTGTCCAGGGCACAGGACTTTCTCAAGCCTACCTGTGACTATCTGCTCAACACACCTACACAAACCCTGCAGCTGCCATGGTCACAATGGCTGGCTTGGGCACAACCACTCTAGGAGATGGCAATGATGATTCTATGTCTCTTCTCCCTCTCTCAACTATACCTTTCTCAAAAAAAAAAAAAAAAAACCACAATGTTAATATTGTGCTAAAAGGCATTTTTCATGCATCCAAACAAAAGCTCAATAAGCAGCTATTGAGCTGGGTAAGAACCTCAGGCCAGTTGGATCACACAGGTCATGTGTGTGGCTTGGGGCCCAAAGTCCTAGGTTCTCTGTTCCAATTGACCTCAGAGGCTTCCCATCTTCCCTCCTCCACAGCAGTAGAAGTTTATCTGAAGTCAGGATTTCCCTATACACAAAACATAAAATTGTGACTCCTAAAAAGGGACCACTTGAATGCAGAACAGGGAAGTGAGAGTCCCACGCCTAGATGGAAGTATTTTCAAGAAGGTCTTCTATGAAGGAGCTAACTGAAGCCCGCAATAGGCTACTCAAAAATTCTGGGAACATGAGCAACCCAGAACCCCAACCTGGTCCATTACCTGAGGCTGTCCGAAAAGGCCTCCACACCATACTTGGAGATGCTGTAGCCACCACCATAGAGTGTCAGCCGGCCCATGACACTGGAGACATTGACCACACGACCTTGCGCCTTTCTTACTAAAGACAGCAGGCCCAGAGTCACCTCGATGACACCCAACAGGTTCACGTTGATTATGTTCATGAAGTCCTGCTTGTTCAGCCACTCATTGGGAGCAGAGGGAAAGGAGATGCCAGCATTATTCACCAGGCCCCAGAGTCCTAGAACAGGAAAGATGGAAGAGCCACACTGAGTGTCTGTGGTCACAGTTAGGGTTCGAATCACCTTGCAGCAATGGAAAACATTCTCTCCTGGGAAGGAAGAAGGACAGAAACAAAACAACCCAGTGTGTATAAGACTCGGCTGTATGTGTTGGAGCTGCTGGTTGACAGAATTGATGCCTTCTCATATATTTGATTCTGCATGGCCCAGCTCATTGTCTGGGAGGTAGCAAAATATTACATTGCTATGGTTTGTGTCTAGTTGTCCCCCTAAAGCCTCATGCAATCCTGGGATGACTTCTAGAGTTTGTCATTAATTCATGATCCAGGGTTGATATTATGTGTGAGTGTTACACCTGGCCTGGGTTGGAGAGCCTGAATGCAACATAAGGGAGACAGACTTGCTGTCTGTTGCCACTGCCACTGCTCCTCCTTTTTGCCTTTGCTCTTTGCTGTTTTCCACTGCCATGAACCACTGCTCTCTGCATTGTGCCACTCTGCCTTGGAGCCAGCAGAGTATGGACTGAAACCTCCACTAACTGTGAGCTAAATAAACCTTTCCTTCCCTCATTCTGGATGTTGGGTATTTGTCCCAGCAACAAGAGAAGAGTAACTGAGACACACACCATATTTGATCATTATCTGAATACATATTGAATACTGCTCATCCATTAGTCTGAAAACATGGAATTCAGGACTGGCTTTTTAACAAGTTCATATCATCCTCTACGTTTTTTTTGTTATTTAAAGCAGTTAATTTACATTACATACACACACCATTTAACAAGGAAAAAGAAAGACAGGAGTAAGGCAGAAATCAAAAGGGAGAGACAGAGGAGAAGGAAAAAGAAAAAAAGAGAGAAAAAACTAATAAATTGGTAGAATTTGGTTGAAAAAGAAAGAACCAATGCCCAGTTGGGGAAAAGTTCAAAGAGTTCTGTGTTGTCCTCAGGAAACTGACCTTGAAACTGGGACACTGATATGCAGCCACCTTCCTGAGAGTGTGCTTGCAAAACCCAACAGGAAGGCTTAGCGTGGCACACAGCTCCCTCCTTCCTCCCCCAGGCCTCGCTACACAACTCCCCACTGGGCCAGAGAGAATAGAGGCTCTGTTGCCCCTCTCTGAAGACCATCCTCCCTTATCCTGAACAGTCTTCTCATCATGATCGTCACACAGCCACTCTGGATAGCCCCACAGCCACTTCTAGGAACAGCATTTGCCACCTGCAGAACACAGTGCAGCACTGGCGAGTACCCATGAGACCCACGGCAAAGAGTGTAGCGTGCTGATGTGCAAGAGAGGGCCAGGAGCTCTGCACCTCCTCTGCTGAGAAACCTATCCTAAACTCCAGAGAAGACGGTCCCTGTCCCTAACCCACTTTATCTCTAAGACCCCAACCATACACATAAATGTACTCATGTCAGTAGAGCAGTGCCCACCAACATGACATTAATGACAATAACACATCAGAAACAACTCCTCCACACAGCATTCTATATGTCTAAATAAGAAGAGTTCTACAAGACCACAGAACAGTCTGCATCAGCTCCTCTTCCTTTTTTTAAGTAAAAAGACTAGGTTTGAGCTGTGCACAAAAAATAAGTGCATACAGGTCAAAGGGTTAATAACGTTTCTCTGTTGGTGGTGAGCTAATTCGTTAACTGTTTTTATAATTTCATGCATTCCTATATTTTTTTTACAATAGTCATAGCTGACATTTATTCTTGAATTACAGAAACCAATGCTTCTTTCTTCCTCTATAACAGCACTGACAATACACTGTAGTGAAAGAAAGCAAACGTGAGCCCCAGGTTTTGCCTCTCCTAAACCAGTTCCTAATCGTCTAGCTGTTCTGAAAACAGGAAGATCTTAGCTCTCTGGTGAGGCATGTTGGGGACCCAGTAAGAACATGTTGCAGTGTAGAGACATGAGTGAGCTCAAATCCAGCACACAACCGGCCAGCACACACCAGAGTGCCAGGCCCCAGCCCTCCTCCTGAAAGATTCCCCATGGTTCTCTGAGCACTCACACCCAGCAACGCAGAACTTCTGCTTAGAAAGGCACACAGAGGACAGAGAGGAAATCTGGACAGAGAGGTCACACTCCCAGCAGAGTCCTCTCATCAAGACTAAAGGGCCCTTGGACTGGTGAAATGGCTCGGTGGTCTTAAGCACCTACTTAGAACAAGCTTAGCAAAGCACAGGGTCCGTGGTTCAATCCCCCCAGCACCACATGCCAGCCAGCCCCCTGGTGGGCTGAGCTGGCCACACACAAAAATAAATAAATAAATAAATAAATAAATAAATAAATGTAACCTTAAAAAAAAAAAAGACTAGAGGGTCCCAAGGGTGACAGGAGGAAGAGGGCTCAAAGCTCCCACTGTGGGGAGGGAAGGAAGTTAGTCTCACTTCCAGCACCACCCCCTTGGGATTTCTTTACACTCTCATCAGGGAGCAGACAAAAAGTGCCCACCTTGTATACAGAGAGGAAACAAACAGACACAGTCAGGAATCTGGGCAATACCTCTGTCTCCCACACATTCCTTCACCCACTCAGTGGCTGCAGCGATGCTCTCTGTCTGGGTGACATCCAGGATCACTGTCTGCAGCCGGCCCGACGTCTGCTTCCTCAGCTGCTCAGCCCCTTCTTCTGTCAGACAGGCAGCCAGCACTCTCAGGCCTCGCGTGTCCAGCCGACTGGCCAGCAGATTCCCGAAGCCCGAGTCACAGCCTGTGATGAACACATACTTGTCTTGGAGGTGGCTCACCACCTTCCTCTCCAGGTACCAGCGCACAAGATAGTACAGGCCCACGAGGGCCAGCAGGTACAGCAGCATGACTTCCCAGAAGACAGGGACAGGCACAAGGGTACAAGACAAGAGTCTGACCTGTGTTCAGTCACAAAAAGAAGAAGAGGAGAAGCCAGAGAGGTACAAAAGGCAGGCAGTCTCCTGTGCCATGCATGGCGTGGAGCCTGCATATTAGTCCCTTATTACTGTGTTTCTAGAATAAGCTCTTTTGATTAATGCTTCCTCATCTCTCTCTTCTTTGGCCTGCTTTTGTTTTAGTGCTGTCTTTGAATATCCCATGTACTGTCTCCAAGAAAAACATGGCTAGTCAGTAGCTTGTCTTTGTATGAGAGTTTTGATGGGGTTGGGGACAGTTGAGACAGTTTAACAGCATAAGCACCTGCCTGGCAAGCGCAAGGTCCTGAGTTTGATCCCTGGCACCAAAAAAAAAAAAAAAAAAAAAAAAGAGTTGTGATGGCAGACCTAAATACACCACTGTCACAATAGACAGATCAACTAGACAAAAAAAAATCAACAAAGAACTATCACAACTAAACCAAACCTCTGAATAAATTAACTCAGTAGATATCTACACGGTGTTTCACCCTACAACAACAGAATAGCCATTCTTCTCAGCAGCACACAGGACCTTCCTCATAATAAACCATATATTAGCTCACAGAACATGCTTAAGTAAATACAAAGGAATTGAAATTATCCCATGCATATTATCAGATTATAGTTCAATGAAACTGGAAATCAATGGCAAAAGAAACCACAAAAACATGGAAATTAAATAATATCCTCCTGAAAAAAACTGATGGGTCACAGATGAAATTAAAGAATAAATTAGACATTAGACAGTTTCTACATTAAACAATAATGTCAATACAACATATCAGAACTTATGGCACACAGTGAAAGCAGTCCTTTGAGGAAAGTTTTTAGTGTTCAATTGCCACATCAGAAAAATAGACTCAAATAAATAACCTCACATTGAACCTCAAGCTTTTAGAAAAAGAAGAGAAATGTAAACCCAAAGTTTAATGTGAAGGAGGAAATTATAAAGATCAGAACACAAATTAATGCAATTAAGACTCAGAAAATAATACAAAGAATCAGTGAATCAAAGAGTTGGGGGCCAGGGATATAGCTCAGAGGCATAAGTGCCTACCTGGCAAGTGCAAGGTCCTGAGTTTGATACCCGGTACCACAAAAAAAAAAAAAAAAAGAGTTGGTTTCCTTGAAAGATTAAAGACAAACCCTTAACCAGTTCTATCAAAGAAAAAATAGAAAAAGACTTATATCCATGCAATTAGGAATGAATAGACCAAAAGCATAATAGATCCTGCAGATCCAGAAGATCATAAATACCTAATTTGAGAACCTATATACACTGATAAGACTGAAAACTCAAAATAAATAGATTCCTAGCTACATACAAATTACCTAAGCAGAATCAAAGAGATATAAAAATTCTAACTAATCCAATATCAGTCAAAAAAATTGAAGAAGTAATTTTAAAACTATCAACAAGGAAACACCCCACTCCTGACAGATTCACTGCTCCACTCTACTAGAACCTACAAGAACTTTAGAGAACTCTGTAAGAATCACTAATCCTCAGGAGTTGGGGAGATGGCTCAGTAGAATAAGTGCTTCCCTGGCAAGTGTAAGGGTCTGAGTTCAATTCCTGGTTCCTCAAAAAAAAAAAAAAAGAATCACTAATCTTCAAACTTTTTAACGAAATTGGAAGAGAAGCAGTATTCTCAAACTCATCCTCAGAAGCAAACACTATCCTGGTATCAGAAAGGACCCAACCAAAATGGAGAATTACTGGCCAGTCTCCCTGATTAACATAGATACAAAAATCCTCAGTAAGATACTGGCAAATGATGCAGCAAATGCTCTAAAATGTTATACAGGCTGGGGAGATAGCTCAGCAGTCTAAGCACCTACTCAGCAAGCACAAAGACTTGAGTTTGATCCTTGGTACTGCACACTGTGCCAGCCCCGAAACTGGGTGTAGTGCCACATGCCTTTAATCCCAGCACTGGGAGACTGAGACAAGAGAATCACGACAAGTTGAGACTGTGTAGTAAGACCCTGCATCCAATAAATAAATAAATAAATAAATAAATAAATAAATTTTTAAAAGAATGTTATACACTATGACTGGGGAAATAGCTCAGTGGAACAAGCTCCTGTCTGGAGAATGCAAGATCCTGAGTTCAGTTTCTGGTATAGAAAATGAAAAAGAAAAAAAAAAAATTTACACCATTACCAAGTGGGTTCCATCCAAGGGATGCAGAAAGGTTTCAATATACGCAAATCAATATGTGTCATACCCCACTTTAACAAAAGCAAGAACAAAAACCATATGATCATCTGAATAGACACAGAAAAAACATTTTTCTAAATTCAATACCTATTCATGATAAAAAAAAAACCCAACAGAAAATAAGAATACAGTGTTTTTACCTCAATCTGATAAAAGCCATCTATGACAAACCAACACCTAACATCATACTAAATGGTCAAAAACAGGGCCAGGGAGATAGCTCAGTGGTCTAAGCACTCACTTGACAATCTAAAGGACCTGGGTTCAGACCCCAGTACTGCATGCTGTGCCAGGCCCCGTGCCATGCTGGCCACCAAAATTGAGCATGGTGGTACAGGCCTATAATCCCAGCACTGGGGAGGCTGAAAACAGGAGAATCACTAAGACTCCAAGCTGTACAGTGAGACCCTGTACCAAATACTCTAAAAAATAATAATAAATGCGTATTTAAACACTATACTGGAGAAGAAAGTAGGTAGAAATCTTGAAGACACAGAAGTAGGTAGAGAATTCATGAGCAAAAAACAAACTGCACAGGAAATACTTCAAAGAATCAACAACTGGGATCTCATCTTCTTGAAGTTTCTGTATATCAAAAGAAATCACCAACAGAGTAAAAAGAAAACCTATGAATTGGGGAGAAAAAATTTACTGACTGTCCCTCAGACAAAGGATTTCTATGTAGAACATATGCAGAATTTTTGAAAAAAAATCAGGCCTCCAAAATTCAAAGGCCCTATTCAAAAATTAGCATTTGAGATGAACATACACTTCTCAGATGAAGAAATACAAATGGTAAATAAATATATGAAAAAATGTTAAACATCATTGATCACTTGAGAAATGCAAGTTAAAACAACACTGAGATTCTGTCTCACCCCAGAACTAACATCAATAAGTCAACCAGTGACAAATACTGGAGGGCTGTGGGGAAAAGGAACCTTTCTCTGCTGTTGGCAGGAATGCGGATTGGTACAACCACTATGGAAATCAATGTGGATATTCCTCAAAAAATAGAATTAGAGGTCCTATTCAACAGAAGAATTCCCCTCTTGGGTATTTTTATAGAAGAACTGAAAACATCATACTACAGTAATATATGTGCAGCCATGTTTATAGCAGTACAATTTGTCATAGAATCTTAGAAACAACCCAAATGTCCATCAGTTGAGGAGTGGATAAAAAAGATGTGATATTTTTACACAATGGAGTATTACTCAGCTATAAAAAAGATAAGCTTTTTTATCTTTTTTTAACAAGAGACCATACTTATAAGTAAAATAAATCAAATTCACATGTGTAAACATTGTATTGACTCTCTTGTGTAAGAACCTGAAAGAATAAATAAAATCTCAAAGGTACAATAGATACTGTGAAAGGGAAAGAATCTGTTCAAAGGGGAAGAACAACTGGA